GTGTATCCTAGAGCTAGGGAAGGTGGGGCTGTTCTCACTCATATCTCAGAACAGTGAGGGCTCCACCCTTGTGGTGTAGGTAACATTCAGTCTCCACCAGGGGAAGGTACGGGGCACAGTTGTTTTCTTCTCACCTCCTTCAGCCACACAGCTGGCTGGGTGACATGGAAGTAACGCATGTCTGAGTTGTTTGGTGTAAGCTCAGTGTGCTACCTTGGCCCTCGTGGCATGGAGACAGCCTGGCTTGTGTGGAGGGCCTGCCAGTTCCCATGTGGGACTTGAGTCCTGGGCTCAGTGGCTTCACCCTGTCTATTTCATGTTAGAAGCCCCTGGCTGGTACTTCTGGAACCATCCTGTCCCCAAGTTACTCTGCTGCCCAGCACAGGGCCTGGCACTCAGGCACACTCTCTAAATAATCCCTAGGTGAGCAGATCCGTGCCAGGTTCCTGCCCTACCTTGCATGGGGCCGCTGGTCAATGATGAATTTCTATGAGTACCTCTGGCATTGGGGCTGGACGCTGCTGTCATGTGAATCAATGGCGTGATGCCACTGGCAATACATGTTTGGAGGTAGTGCAGCAGCTAGGTCTTAACTGCAGCCCATGTGCCCCCTTCTGTAGGGAGCAGGAAGAGGCTGAGCGGGGACAGTCCCCGAGAAGGAGCCAAAGGCCTGAGTCAGCCCACGCACTGAATGCAGTGAGGCGATTCGAGCCAGAGTTGTACACAGTGGAGTCAAGCCTGCTCCAGTGGCTGCATTGGTGCCTGCTGCTCCATTGTTGGTGGTTTTTCCTTAAGCAAGCAGTTCCTTTTCTGGAGGTTTATCCAGACAGGTTCCCTTACAGGCTGGAAAGGTAGACGTAGGAGACGCTGCAGGACCATGCTCAGACTCTGGCCCATGATGGCATAGAGCTGCATGAGTGGCAAGCTGCGCAGTCCGCAGGTTCAGAAGGCTGCACAGAGCTGTTGGAATGGGCATGCCCCTTCCTTATCCCTCCCGAGGCCTCACAGCTCCTGTGCCTTCCTCCCTCCCAGTTGGCACTGTGTGTTGAAGAAGGAAGCAGGGAGCCCCACACTGCACACATTAGCCCTTGAGTTGCAGGCCAGGAATGCCACTCATGCCCTGTTCTTGTATATGTTAGCTTTAAGTAGCCATCGCCTCTGATGTGTGGATTTATGCAGTAAACAGTTGGGCAGCAGAGTGCTCTTGTGAGCTTCCAGTGCCTGAATGGGTATGCCAGGGAGCACCGTGCAGCTTGGTCTGTTTTGCTTGGAGAAGATCCAGATCCAGATCCCCAAGCAGGTGGAGTAGTGGAGCAAGCCCCTAGCCATGACAGAGCCGCCTTGTGGGTGCAGCTGTACCCTGTGACCAGGCTCCTGGGAAGAGGACTCTGGGCCAGCCCAGGTTCCAGTCTGACTGGCAAGTGGGCTTCTCGGGGCTTGGCTTGGTCCCTCCCTGGTGTGACCCTTAGGTGGACTGTCCCGCTGGCCCAGGGAGGGTGAGCTTCCCTTGGTGGTTTCTGCTCTGGAGATGTTCTGGCATTTGGTTTGTAATCTGCTATGCCCCCCACCTTATTTTAGTAAACAAATGGCTATTTGATTTTCTTAATGGGAAGTGTAAGGAAAGTACTAACCTTACCAAGACACTGCGAGCTGAGTGAGTCCAGAGGGGCTGCTGTTGAGACGGGGGAGCAGGGATCCTGGCGCTGCTTGCAGGGTCCTGTGCCCCTCCTAGCCGAGTGCCAGGCTCTAGCAGGGTCAGCGCATGGGCTGCTCAGGGTGCCGACTATACCCACCTGCACGAAAGGCGCACGCACCTCCCGAGGCGCAGGGATCCTGTGCCACCTCCTCCTGGCCAGCTCCACTTTCCTTGTGTGGTGAGATGGAGTCGGGAGGACTTCGGGGCTTGAAGGCCTAGGTTAAGCTAGCGGGTGCTGGCGTGAAGTAATAATGAGCTGGTCTGTCTGCGTTTTTTTGGTGTGAGATCCTCCAGATGAACACCCTCTGTGGCCCTGTCTTGGCTCACACACACTAAAGAGACACCAGCCCCTGAGTGTCCCCTGGATGTTGGAGTCCACATGAACACCGCCCGTGAAGCCAAAGCATGGGTTTGTGAGGCAATTAGTAGATACTGGCTGGGCTCGGCAGGTTTGATATTACTTGCTGTGGTTTAAAATTCTATTGCAAAGGTGAAAGCAACCATGCTGCCATGCCCAGCCTGTGTTCTGAAGGGCCTGCTGTGTCAGCTGTGTGGCCACTCCTGGGCTGGGTATGTCATTTAATGAGGGCTTTAATCGAAAACACTGGGCACACTGACCCCTTGCATTTCCAGGCAGCTCCCCACTGGCTGTCGTTGGCAGCATGCAGAACCTTGCTGTGATCTGTTCTTCGGGTGGCAGCACTCTGCAGAGTGGTCCATCTAGGAAGAAGCAGCCAACTTCTGTGGGGACCCCCTTCGGTGTTGGATGCTTAAGCAGGACTGCATTCCTGGCATTTGGGGCTGGGGCCTGGGGCCTGCCTGAAGGTCTGCAGGTGGCAGCTTGCTCTGTCCTATGCCTCACCTGCCCTGCACATGTGTCCATCCTGAGTTCTTTTGATAGATATTCCCACCTGTCTCCTCACAGAAAGTAAGACCCACCCTGGGTGAGTGTTGTGTCATGGCCGTTGGTATCAGTCAACACAAAGTGACCTCAAACAACACACACCTTCTGGCGGGGCTGTGCTGCCTTGAGAGGCTGGGGGAGCTGAGTCTTTTCCTCCCCACTTTCTTATGGCCCCTGCACCCCTAGCCTAGCCCCAAATCAGCCTGACCCTCCCACCCACAGTCACTGCCATTTCCTGCTCTGACGTGACCCTCTCTCAGGCTCTTGCAGATAACTTTGGGCACCAGGTCCTTCAACCACCTGTGACACTGTCCCATCCACACCCCTTTGCCTGGCTCAAGCGCAGCATGCTGTGTAGAGTCAGCTTCGCCTGTGTGACCCCCTTAATTACAGCTGCCTTTCCCTCCCACATGGTCTCTCCTCCCCCCATCTCTCCTGTCCTGCTCTGATAGGCACTTCTTGGCCACCATCTGGCCCAAGACCCCCAGGTGTCACATGCCGAGACCGCAGCCCCTCACTGGCCCTCCGGGGCCTGTCCAGCTCCCTCTCAGCCCTCAGCCCAGGCCTGTGCATCCCAGGCTCAGAGGTGTGCTAATGGCAGGGTCCCTATGGGCACCATGTGCTCCTCAGTTGTGACATTCCTTTACCTGTCTCAGCTGCAGATGCTTCAGTCCTGTGTGTGTCAGCCCCAGGCCACCCTTCTGGATAGACCACTCCTCCCTGTTCTTGGGACCATGGCAGGTATCCATCATCACTCCATGGCACAAGACACACAGTTCCACCAGTACCTTCATCAGGTTGGCAGGCAAGCACCCCAGGGCTCCTCCCTACCTGAGCACCCACTTCTGATACTTGCCTGCACTGTCCCCTGTTTGACCCCAGGAATGGCCCTGCCCCCTTCCTGATCTCTCTGCCTAGAGCCCAGGAGTGCCAACTCCTGGGAAGCTGGACCTTTTCCTTTTGTGTCCCAGGGTAGGTGTGGCACTCAGATAAAACTGTCATTCACTGTAGCCAACAGACAGAACCTACCCATAGTGCCTGCCACTCCGATCCCAGTCCAGTGCAGCTTCCCTACAACCAGGCTCAGCAGTGGTTTTCCTGGACAGTGGCTGGTGGTGAGGCTTCCATGGAAATGTGAGGTGGACACAGGCCTCTGGGACCCCAGAGCTTGGGCTGCTGTCATCTGTGAGGTCACTGGCCTGAAGATGGCCTGGGTGCTGCTGGCACTCACGGCATGGGTGGGGTGCATGTCACCTGCGCTGCTGGCCCTGTGTAGTCTTACAGAGGCTGACTGCAGCTGGTGTGCCAACTACCACTGGCTTCTGTGTTGAAAAAGGAGGTTGCATCCTTAAAAGACAGTTTTGGTGCCTATTCTATAGAGAGCAGGGTGGGGAAGCTGTGTGTGTGTGTGTGTGTGTGTGTGTGTGTGTGTGTGTGTTGGGCACAGGTGCACTGTTTGTCCATACTGATTCGAAGTGTGAATGGACTCAGTTCTCTGTCCTGGCTTGCTGACACTTGGTAAAAGATACTGTGCTGAGCTGGCATGCTGGCGCATCCTGTTAAACCAGCACTTCAGGAGGTTGAGGTGGGAGGACTCAAGCTCAAGCCCAGCCTGGGTGATACAGTGATGTTTTGAGAACATGCCTCAGAATTTTTAAAAAGGGCCAGCGGACTAAGCACCTGCATAAGCAAGCTCAGGGACCAGGGTTCGATACCCAAAACCACATGCCTCGTCAGCCCCGCCTTCAGTTGCACTGAGCCCAGCACTGAGACCAGGCATGGTGGCACACGCCTGTAATCCCATTGCTGGGAGGCTGAAAATAAGAGGATCACTGAGTGCCCCAGCTGCGTAGCAAGACCCTGTGCCAAGTACATTTTTTTAAGAAAAGCAAAGGTTAGGGTGTAATGAAGGGCCTGGGCTCAACCCCCATCCGCCTTTGTTGTTAGCAGCCGTGGTAGCTCACCGCCTTGGGAGCAGGTGCTGCGGACATAGCCTTGTGAAAGGCAACCTTCTGTCACTGCCCTGTCCTGCATCCTGTTTTGTACCTGAAATCACTCTCACCATCTGCACCCCTGAGTAAGAGGCCCTGGCCAGGGCTGGGAGAGGTGTGCAGGGATTGGGCTGAGGAGTAGGTTTGCACAGCCTTGCTCCCACAGCTCCTCCTGGGGTTCGGCTGCAGTTTCTAGTCGTGACACTGAAAGCGTGAGGTTGCAGTTTGTCTGCATTGGTGCTACCTTACTGCCATCAGGTGCAGGTGGCTGTATTGCCCTGGGGTTGTCCCTCAACAGCCCTGCATCCAGGCAGGGAACCTGGCTGCAGAGGAACCAAAGGCATAGACACGGCCCTGGTGACCACAGCACCTGGGCCATCTCTAACCACGTGTGCTGCCTTCCCCACAGCTGCCAGGACGCAGATACGCCCCAGGGTACAACGCCGAGGTGGGTGACAAGTGGATCTGGCTAAAGTGAATGGTGCCCTCCACGTGCGCTGCATCACAGCAGTGAAGATGCGTCTGCTCTGTGGGCACTGTGCAGGGAGCAGATGGCTGCAAGTCACACCGCAGAAGAGATGGCCTGGCAGAGGCGGTCGCCCCTTTACGTAGTGAAGTGGCAGAAAGAGATGCCACTGAGAAGCTTTGGAGCCTCTCGCATTGCTGGAATGCTCTGCAGTTCCAGGGGAGACACCTGCGCAGCAGCCCTCTCCTGAAGCTTCACGTCTCCTTGTAGCCCTGGGTCATGCAGCTTTCATGCATTGTTCTTCAGCTCCTGAAATAAAGCCGTTTCCACGGAACTGCTGCCTGCCTCTGCACACACACGTGCCGTGCACATACACGCCACGCACATACGTGCACACGTGTGTGCACCCACACTCCCTGCGCTGTCTGTCGTGGTGGTGCGGTTAATGCAGGCATACCATATGAAAGACATTTTCCTGGGGCTTTTCCCATTGTAGCAGTCTCATGGAACAATCAGAAAAGTAGACAGTAGTTTCAGAACAGGAAGGTGGCCGTAGATTGTAGAACACTGTAGGATGTAAAAGGAATTTCAGCCCCAGTTCACAGGCTCCTGTCCCAGGGGCTGTGCTGATCCTGATCTTTGCAGGGAACGTGAGCTGAGAAGGTGGGGAGAGCGCCCAGCCTACTGCCCTCCTCACCCTGTAAGGAGAAGGCAAGCCATGCTGCTGTCGTAGACTTAGAAAACAGAAATAGCTTTCTTGCAGCATAGCTGAAGATTAGCATTGCTGTCCAGGAACCCAGCAGCAAGTAATGGATCCTATGAGACTGGGGTTTCAGCTGTAGAGTTCTGTCTGCACAGCAACTGTCATCTACATTGATGATTTAGATTTAAATTAATGTAAATGTAGTGCAGCTTAACATTCAGCTTCTTGGTTGTATGGCATACAGCCTCTGTCCAGTGGCCGTGTGCCCTGTGACATCAGCGTTGTGTGGTGCAGAAGTGAACACTTTGATCTTGCAGGACGGTGTGAGGCCTTGCTGCTGTGCAGCACGCACAAGAATACATCCCCAGCCTCCCCCACTTTACCTCCTTGGAAGTAAAGTGTCCAGGTGTAAGTGGGCACTGCTTTGACCATGCAGTGGAAGTGCAGCTCCGCAGGGGGTACTGCAGCAGTGTCCTTGATCTGCTCTGTTCACAGACCCAGGAGTGAGAGGAGAGGGCATCTGTTGTGGTGGCAAGGCTTCTGGCCTGTGTCCCGAGACCTGGCTGGGGTGTATGGTGCTCAGCTATAGCTCAGCTGCAGTGTTGCAGCTTAGTGTGGTGTGGACCGGCCCTGGGAGAGGCCACATGTGTTTGAGCTGACCCTGTGTGGTCACTGACAGCACATGACCTTTGTGTGGAAGTGTGCTGCTTCATTTTCTGCTGTCACACTCCTGGTCTTGTCTCGGACTAGAAACCCTGAAGAGGAAGCTCAGTGTCCTTGTGTGTTTCAGTACATGGTTTTGAATATTGGGATTCCCAGTGCTCTGAGCTAGGAACTCTGCATAATGTTGCAACAGTGTAGTTTTGTGTCTGTGCTTATAGGTGTTTGTTTATTGTAAACATGAGAATATTGTATTAAAGTCCTATTTTTTTCTGAAATACCTTTCTGTTCTATCAAATTTGATAGTAACCACAATTTACCAAAATTTAACACAGAACCTTGAGCTCAGAGGTCCCTTAGGGCCCCTTGAGCAAGACTTACCCCAGTGGGCATCCTGGTAGTCCGTCCCCCGCTGTCGCAGGAGCTATGGTACAGCCACCTGGCCAGCAGGGGCCCGGGTAAGAGCAGCAGGAGGGTGCCTGAGGTGCGTCTCACCTCAGGTAACTTAGGTATCGGGTTGTGCAGTACAGGCAGTCAAGAGAGCTCTGGTGTTTGGCCCTTTCTTCAGCAACCCATTGGCCATGGGGCCTATTGGACTCTGTGTCCTGTACACCGGAAGGAGTTTCGAAATTGGCTGCTCCTAGCAGAACGGGTCAAAGTCAAGATGCACGTTGTCCTCTGCTTTCAGTAGAAGGCGCAGTCTCGCTCGCACTTGCTGGCCCTCTGGGTTGGGTGCAGTGCTGCAGTTACTGTCCTTGGTGCATGCAGCCCTGAAGGGGACAAGTGTGTGGGCGGCAGGCTGGATGCGTGGAAGCAAGCCTATGCCTGGGGGATTCTGGGTTTTGCATCTGGATATAAATAAAGCTGGGTACCTGCAGATTTTGCTCTAGGAAAATCACAAGCCAGAAAGCAGAAGTGTGTCACCAGCCACCCCCGCCCTGGGATCCTTTCCTGCTGGGTGGGACTTTACCAAGGAAACCGTTGTGAAAGGACTAGAACAGTCTGGCCTTAGCCAGCCCCAGCAGAAGGCTGGCCCTGCGTTTGGTGCCTCATTGTGGTGGGGGCCAACCCTGCCTGTGATGTCCTGGAGGTTGAGGGTTCCAGTGCCACATCTACAGAGCGATGGGGGGCCTTCCCTGGCAGGAACTGCCTCCGCTTTAAGGAGCCGAGCTGTTGGGATTGTACTAGGAAGCCAGAGAAACACAACCAAACGCTATCTTTAAACGCACAGGTTGTCCTTTCTGTAGGTCCCTAGTCGTTGAGCGTTTCTTAGAATGTATTTTAGTAAAAAGGCATTTTTCAGAAGTGAACACTTCTTAAATTAAGGTCCTAATGACCTCAGGTTAGAGCCGGTGTCATGGTGGAAGCACACAGTTGAGTGGCGGTTTTTGCAGTGGATATTCTTTGAAGAAGCTGTGCCAGGCGATTGTGTGAGCTTTGTTCTCCTGTGTCACGCCGCTGCATGCTGACCTCCACAGTGCACACCCGGCCCCCTGTGATTCAGCACCGGAGTGGGGGTGGGAACAGCAAAATGAACAAATACAGCACAGCCAGGGGAACACTGGCCACAGTGCAGTGTGATGGAGGCATGACCAGGCCCATTCCAAGCACAGGTTGCGGGGTCAGGGCGGGCCCAGCACACAGGGTTCCAAATGGGGAAGTCGTGTACCCCTTCTGCATGGGCTGGCACGAGTCCACACCACCCCAAAGCCGGTCCCTCTGTTCTTGCCCACTTACCCATCTGTTTCCTGGGCAGCTGCTCCCTGTCCTCTACCCCACCTTGCCGGCTGAAGTGCTTGCTTCCTACAGCACTGGACACACAGCCTCTGGCAGCCTCCATCCAGGGGTTCTTTTATCCCAGATCCTCAGCCCCCTCCCACTTGTGGGCCCTTCCATTGGAGCCCAGGTGGCACCTGGCTGCAGTGTCCACTTGGCCCTTGTTGGCACTGTTGGCCTTCTCCCTACCATCTGCTCCCCTCCTGGGCTGCACTGGCGTGTGAGAGCCCTTCCCTGCAGGCTGCAGCCAGAGCAGGGTTCCAGCCAGTGTCTGCATGGGTCAGCCCCGCCTCAGTGTCCCCACCCTGCCTGGTGTCCAGGGTTCTCAAGCAGCCACCTGGAGCTCCCAGCGGGGTCTGTGCAGTGACGCTGACATCCCTGAGGCCTGGACCTTGCTGAGGATGAGGCCCAAGACCAAGAAGTCACAACCGCAGAGCTGACCTGAGGACGGTAGGTGTAGGCGCTGCCCCACACACGTGCCACCCAGGCATGCAGTGCCTGCGCCAGCTGTGAGGCCTTGTGCTTTGGATACTTTGATGGTCACCCCACCCATTTCTGGCTGTTAGTTTGTAAGGGATAGTGGGTCTTGCCCCAGATCCCAAAAGTTTGAGTTTATCTGCCCTGGGTGGGCTGGGGTTTTGCACATATAGTATGTATAGCATGGGATTCTTTAATAGTGAACAGGAATTCCTGTTGGAGTGAAAGACAAGAACTCAGTATGCACCAACCAACGCCCAGGTGAAAACATCTCTACTGGGAGGGATACAGAGGCAGAAAGAGTGGCCACTGGCTGGAGTAGCCAGGGAAAAGCAGGCAGGGTAGGCTGCAGCCTGAGTCACGGTGCAGAGTGTGAGGGAGCCAGTGGCCCAGCATGCACCCCGTGTCGCAGGTCTGCCACGGTGGCCCCTGGTTCTGGCAGCATTGCTCCACGGCCTGGATCCCTGGGCTCTTAACCGCCTGTACGTGCTGAGTACAGAGCCAATTTTTACCTGGTCACAGGTGACAGTGAACACTGCAGGGCTCTTGGTTCACATAGAAGCCCAGGTGATGTCAGGGTGAAGCCGTCTCATGTTGGATGACAGTGAGCGGCTGGATATACACAACCGCCCCACCCTCCTCGAAGCAAGCTTTCTCCCATGTGCTGTGACAGCAGTGCTTTGGGTGCTTGGGCTCTTGCGGGTGGCAGCAGGGGCTCCCTGGTGCAAGGCTAGCTCAGGTGCAGCTTCTCTATCCTCCAGCACTCCCCTCCCTGCCCCCCATGCCTGATGCCAGAGGCTTCCTGGCCAGTGGTGTCGGGCGCTTTCCCCTGCAGTGCTGATGGCCCTGGATGGCTAAGGGTCCTGCCACTGCGAGGAGTGCCCACTCAGCCTGGGGTTTGCAGCAGGATTGCCTTTCCTCATTCACTGCCATGCTGGTCACCTCTTCCTGCCCAGCCCTGGGCTGCAGGGGTGAACCCAGCCCCCTCCCACCACGCGGAACCCCATATACAGGGCTTCCCTATCCAGACCCACCCTGGCACTTCACATTGGCCTCCTTTCCTCCTCCCAACATCCCCAAGGTTGCAGCTATCACCTTCATGTTCCCAAAAGCAGAAGCTGTGGTCCAACTGCCCTGGCGTGCCTTGACCTTGTATGCCTGGGCTTGGCCTTCCAGCAGAGTCCAGATCTGTTGGGGTGGTCAGCCCATGTTGTGAGATACCTACTCATGAAGCAGGTGTATGGGCGTCCTCCTGAGGTCTGGGGTTGAGAGGAGTCTCCAGGGCATCTGAAGACGCAGCAGGGAGGCCCAGGGCTCGCATTCAGAGCTGGATGTGCAGGCCCCCTCCCCACCTCGCAGGAGCCTCAAGTCAGCAAGAGCCAAGTCGTTGATCCTCACTAGGGCCTTGGCCAGGTGTGCAGGTCAGCAGGGCACGGCCCCATCTGCCAGGGCCTCCTGCAGCTGCTGCTGAGCACAGGCAGTCTGTTGGCCACCCAGAGCCAACCCTCCAGAAGGGCTGCATGCCTGAGCAGGCTGATGTGCTAGAAGAGGACAGCTTTCCTCAAGGGCCTACCATCTTTCCAGCAGTGTTCTGGGAGCCTGAGGCGAGAGACTGCAAGTTGGAGCCCAGAATGGACAACTCTGTGACACTGTCTCTCAAAGGGGGTGGTGGTGGAGGGGTAGCGCAGGAGGCAGGGGCTGTAGCTCAGTGCCAGGCTTTGGGTCCTGTCTTACAAAGAGCAAAGTCCTGGAGAGGAGCTGCAGCTGGAGATGGCCGACCACATACCCACACTGACCTCAGTGCAGAGAGACATGGTGTCCCTGTGGTCTGGCAGGGTGGACCCTTGGGCGTGGATGTGTGTGTGCCCCAGTGGCAGCTGCTTTCCACACAGGATCCTGGCAAGCTGGTCTTCTGGTGAGGGAGCAAGAATCCCCACCAGACACCCGACTTGAGAACCCTTGCCCCCTTCCACGGGGTGGAGCTGCAGCAAGGGCGTGCAAGGCCCTGTCCACCACCACCAGGCACTCTGTGACCCACCATCCCTCTGCTGTTCCCATGTCAGGTGGCAGAGTAGCCTGTGTCAGCCTGGGAGGAGACATGGCTCAGTGCAGAGGTATGAACATACTGGCTGCCCTCGCTGGACGCCTGGCAGTGCAGGCAAGCAAGGCACCTGTGCTGTACACAGCTTTACCCTCCAGCTCCTGCCGCTGGCTCCTGTAGCCTCTCCCTGAGCCTGCCATGCTCTCCTTCGTAGCAGTTTGGCCACACAGGCCTGAGCCCCAGAACCCTCGCATGCTGTGTGTGGCCCACAGTGGTCATAGAGGAGCTTCTTAGAGGCCTAGCGCCTGGACAGTCTGTGACAGATTGGTCCCAGCGTACTACACTGCCCTGCTGCATACCTCAACATGGCTTTATAGATCCAGCCAGCTTCCTGTTAGAGGTTTTCAGATAAAAAGTTCTACTCAGTGTTCCATTTTTGTGTTCTTGTGAGGCTTGGGTAAGCCTTGTGTTTGCAGAGTGACCAGGTGATGCCCTTCGAAATGTGGGTAGAACAGGGCTTAGCAGTGTCCAATGGGTGCGCAGAGAACAGCGGGGCATGTAGGGTGGCAAAGCCCATGTACCTTCCAGGCAGGGTGTCCAGAGGCTCCAGGAAGCAGGGCCGATGTACCTTCCAGGCAGGGTGTCTAGAGGCTCCAGGCAGCACGGCCCACATACCCTCCAGGTAGGGTGTCCTGAGGCTCCAGGCAGCAGGGCACATGTACCCTCCAGGCAGGGTGTCCAGAGGCTCCAGGCAGCAGGGCCCATGTACCCTCCAGGCAGGGTGTCCAGAGGCTGCAGGCAGCAGGGCCCATGTACCCTCCAGGCAGGGTGTCCAGAGGCTGCAGGCAGCAGGGCCCATATACCCTCCAGGCAGGGTGTCCAGAGGCTCCAGGCAGCAGGGCCCATGTACCCTCCAGG